CTCCATTCTCCTCTCGGGATCTTGGGCACGCACGCACGTGACCTGGTGTGAGTTTTAAGCCATTGGGTTCAAGACTTGAACCATGGTCAACTACGTGGGAGTCCAGCAATGTAACCATTACGCCTCCTGCTGGGTCCTCCTGCATCTCAATATCTTAATGTCTGGTTGGCACCCCCCTGAGGCTGGGCTCCAGCAGCTCCATTTCAGGGGAGAAGCAAGAGGCTCCCAGAAGTGGCGTGTGGGGTGAGAAGCCCCATCCCTGCCCGAGAGCCCCAACGGCCCGACTGCAGACTCACCATCTCCCTGCTTCTCTGCTCCCATTTAGGCTTTCTCGCACAACACTACCGAGGACTACTCCTGGTATGACTCCTTCGGAACCAAGGACCCTTTCCCGATGGAGGACGACACCTCCCCGAAGCTGCATGCCCCAGATATTGTCGCCTTGGTCCTCTCTGCAATCGTCTTCCTGGTGGGAGTACCTGGCAACGCCTTGGTGGTCTGGGTGACGGCCTTCGAGGCCAGGCGAACCATCAACGCCATCTGGTTTCTCAACCTGGCGGTGGCCGACCTCCTCTCCTGCCTGGCGCTGCCCATCTTATTCACGTCCATCGTCCTGAACGGCAACTGGCCCTTCGGCGCCGCTGCGTGCTGCATCCTGCCCTCCCTCATCTTGCTCAACATGTACGCCAGCATCCTGCTCTTGGCCACCATCAGCGCCGACCGCTTCTTGCTGGTGGTTAACCCCATCTGGTGCCAGAACTACCGTGGGGCAGGCTTGGCCTGGCTGGCTTGCGGCCTGGCCTGGGGCTTGGCGCTGCTGCTCACCATCCCGTCCTTCCTGTACCGCACGCTGGTGGTAGAGCACTACCCGCCCAGGACGCTGTGCGGCGTCGACTACGGGAAGGGCGAGCACACGCAGAGGGCGGTGGCCATCAGCAGGCTGGTTCTGGGCTTCCTGTGGCCGCTGCTCACGCTCACCATCTGCTACACCTTCCTCCTGCTCCGGACGTGGAGTCGCAAGGCCACGCGCTCCACCAAGACGCTCAAGGTGGTGGTGGCGGTGGTGGTCAGCTTCTTCATCTTCTGGCTGCCCTACCAGGTGACGGGGATGCTGCTGCTCTTGTTCAAGCCGACTTCGGAAACCTTCCAGCTGGTGAGTAAGCTGGACGCCCTGTGCGTGTCCTTGGCCTACATCAACTGCTGCATCAACCCGGTCATCTACGTGGTGGCCGGCCAGGGCTTCCAGGGCCGCCTGCGCAGATCCCTGCCCAGCATCCTGCGGAACGTGCTGACCGAGGAGTCCACCGTCAGGGAGAGCAAGTCTTTCTCGCGCTCCACGGCGGACACGTCTGCTGAGAAGAGCCAGGCGGTGTGAGCAGACACGGGGCCACCATCTGCCTGTGCTCCGCCTCGGCCACTCTCCCCGCGTTTAACTCCGCTCTGGGTGCATGGCGTGGACTTCGCCCACTCTCCTTTCCCGTCATGCCCAGGCTTAGCCCTCGCCCTCCTCTTACGGGGTGACTCCTCTCGTCCTTCCTCACGTCTAAGATCGCCGTTTTCCTCTACGGACACTCCTCCTGGCTCTCCTTCTGAGGCTTTAGAAAAGAAACAAAGCAGCGGGGTTTCTGGGCCACCTCCCTACAGCCACGTGGGCAGGAGAGGGTGAACGGGCTGCATTGGGAGGTGCAGGATCTGCGGATAGAAGCAGTCAAGCCTTCAAAAAGAGAGTGGAGTGTGTCAGGGGGAGTTGAGAAAGAGCTGTGACCAGAGAGAGCAAAAGCACCGGGTCAGAAGGGCCCGAGCTGAGCGCGGGAAAGGTCGGGCTCAGCAGTCATGGGCAGTTCCCGAGGCCAGGGTGCGGCCAGCAGGGGGTGTGGTGCAAGACAAGGGATGCCCATTCCAGTCCCAGACCTGGCGCTTGGCTATCACGCGGGGTGTGTGTGTGCCCAAAACCCCAAGAGGAGAGCCGAGGAGAAGGGATGGGGCGTGGCCATCTATCCCCCCAGGGGTGATTTCTCCATTTCCCTCTCTCTGTCTCTCTCCAGCAAGTGTGTGTACCCTATGTCTAAAACCTGGAAAAACAAAAACAAAAACAAAAACAAGGAGGACAGGGGTGAACCCCTAGTATCTGACCTACTGCAGTCAGGGGTTCTAGCAAGACCGGGACCTATGGCGGCTGTTGGAGGACATTCCTTCTCTCTCTCCGCCTCTCTTTTCTTCTCTCTCTCCCCCTCTCTTTTCTTCTCTCTCTCCCCCTTCTCTCAGGCCCACACACGCACTTTATCATGAATAAAGAAAAACAAAAGTATGTGGGCCTATCTAAGTTTCTATTTGGAGTTTGAGATATTGTTTAGTTTGCGATTGCTTTTTCTTTTTGGTGTTTTAAATCTAAGCATTTGTAAGTGAGTTGATTTAAAGAACCACTTCGAGTGAAAATGTTACTTCATTCTCTTTAAAAACTTTATATGAAGATGATGTCAGAGGGGCCGGCAGGTGGCATGGTGCTTGAGGGCACCGGACTCCCACATGGCTGACCGTCGTTTGAGTCCCAGACCTGGTGACTTGCTCTCTCTCTCTCTCTCTCTCTTTGGGCAAATGAAAATAAATAAATAAAGTGAAAAAAAATAATTAAAAAAAAAAAAAAAGATGTTAGAGCCCGACAGTGGCACGGAGGTGACAGGCTCTGAGGGGAGGACGGCCCGGGAATGGCCAGGTTCACGCCCAAAGACCTCTTTGAACATGCCAGGAACATATGTGTTCACGGCTGGCCGAAGCTGGGGGTGGAGCACGACTCTGGGACCCCGCTGGGGATGTCTCTGCTCTCTGCTCTCTCTCACCTATGAAAGGAATCGTCACGCTGCATGAGTGCTTTGAAAATCATATTGTACCCCACAAAGATGTGCAAAAAAATTAAATGCAAATAAAAAAGTCATAAAATAAAAAAGTAAGACACTATTTTGTTATTTTATTTTTTTTTGGAGAGGTTTTTGCTATAGGGCGCGTGTGCTCACCAGACAGACAGAGAGAGACAGAGAGATAGAAAACAAAAAAGCACCTCCCAGGGGGGACGGCCATGCCGCAATCCCTTCTCCTCCATTCTCCTCTCGGGATCTTGGGCACGCACACACACGCACCTGGTGTGAGTTTAAGCCACCGGGTCTGGGACTCGAACCGTGGTCGACTACGTGGGAGTCCAGCGACATAGCCATTACGCTAACTGCTGGTCCCAAGACACTGTTTTTAAAAAAGAGAGCTCTATATGGTTGTGGCAAGAAGTTCAGGGAAGGCCTGGTGAAGGCTGCGGCTGGGTCGCTGGCCGGGCAGAGGCACGCCTGAGGCATGCCCTATGGTTATCTCCGCGCACTGGGTTAACAGAAGTGACCTTTTTACTTTGAAAACTGCTGTTTGTGTGTGCTTTTCATTTTCTTTTAAGGTTTTTTTGTTTGTTTGTTTGTTTTTTTAGATTTTTGTCATAGGGTGTGTGTGCTCACTAGAGAGACAGAGACAGTGACAGAGAACATGAGAAATCTCCCCCCAGTGGAGATGACCAGGCCACAGTCCCTTCTCCTTCTGCAATTTGGGGAACACATGCATGCACGCCCAGTGTAAGATTTAAGACTCAAGATCTGGGACTTAAACCACAGTCGGCCTTATGGGAGTCCAGCACCTTCACCACCGCACCACCTGATTGCTGGTCCCCGTACTTCTAATTTTTTTTTTTTTTTAATCACCAAAGGGTGAGCATGCTTGCAAGACCTAGAGATTGGGGGTGGAGGGAAAATGACACTCCCAATAGGGTGTGGTCATGCCACGGTCCCCTCCTTCGTGTCTCCATCCCGTCAGGATTTGGGGCACACACGCTCCTGGTGTGTTTTTCAAGCTCTGGGAACTGGGATTCAAACCACAGTTGGCAGGTGAGACCCGGCTCCCTTCACCACTGGGATCCTGGCCTAGTGTTTATCCTTAAAAAACTCACACCTCTTTGGGGTTATTGCATGTTTAATGCGGTTGAAAGTGATTATACTGAAGGATCTTGTGTGCCTTTCTCCCAGTTCCCCACAGTGAAAACTTCTGGCAAAGTTACACAACAGTTTTACAACAGAAACAATAACATCGACACAGTCAGGGTAGGGGACAGTCCCATCCCCACCCGGACCCCACCTGTCATCCCTTCAGAGTCGCACTCACTTCCCTCCACCCTCCCCAGCCTTGTCCCCAACCTCTGGCCAACACAAATCCACTCTCCCTTTCTATAATTCTCTCATTTTAAGAATGGTATCTGGGAACCAGCAGTTAGCGTAATGGCTATGTCGCTGGACTCCCACGTAGCCGACCGCGGTTCGCGTCTCAGACCCGGTGGCTTAAATCTCACGCCGGGCGCGTGTGCGTGCGTGCCCAAGATCCCGAGAGGAGAATGGAGGAGAAGGGATTGCGGCGTGACCATCCCCCCTGGGGGGTGATTTCTCGCTTTCTGTCTCTATGTCTCTCTCTGTCTGTCTGGCGAGCGCACGCGCCCTATAGCGAAAACCTCTCAAAAAAAAAAAAAAAAAAAAAAGAATGGTATCTATTGGAATCATACCGTAATATAGTATATAACCTTTTGAGCTTTTTTTAAAGAGTTTTTTTGCCTTAGGACCAGCAGTTGGTGTAATGGCTATGTCGCTGGACTCCCACGTAGTCAACTGTGGTTTAAGTCCTGGACCCGGTGGCTTAAACTCACACCAGGTGCATGTGTGTGCGTGCCCAAGATCCGGAGAGGAGAATGGGGGAGAAAGGATTGCAGTGTGGCCATCCCCCCTGGGGGGGTGATTTCTCACTTTCTGTCTCTCTGTCTCTCTCTCTCTGTCTTTTTGGTGAGCGCATGCACCCTATAGCAAACAACTCTAAACAAATAAATAAATAAAAGAAGTTTTTGCCTTATGGTATGTGCGCTTGCCGGGGGGTGGGGGGAGAGAGAAAGAGAGCGAGAGAGGGAGAGAAACAGTGAAAGGGAAAGTGAGAAATCACCCCCCAAGGGAGATGGCCACATTGCAATCCCTTCTCCTCATTCTCCTCCCGAGATCTTAGGCATGCATGCACACACATACACATGATTTTGAAGTCACTGGGTCCAGGACTCAGACTACAGTTGGCTATGTGGGAGTCCAGCAATGTAACTGCTATGCCATCTGCTGTTCCCTAACCTTTTGAGCTTTTAAAAAACTAATATTCAGGGCCCAGCAGGCGGCATGATGGTTAAGACACTGGATGTCCACATGGCCAAGTGTGGGTCTAGTCCTGAACTTGGTGGCTTGAAAATCATGCCGGTTGCTTGTGTGTGTGTGCCCTAACTCCTGAGAGGAGAATGGAGAAGGGACTGCGGCGTGGCCATTCCCTCAGGGCGTGATTTCTCTTCCCTCTCTCTGTCTCTCCCTAGTGAGCACACACGCTCTATGGCAAAACAAAAACAAAAAACAAAAACAAAAGCAAAAAAAACCAGAAAACCTAAAAATCTAAAAAGTAGCAGACATGACTTTACTGATGAAACTGAAAGGTCATAAATATCGCCTTTCTTGCTCCCCCGCCATCTTGGTGGCTGCTCCTGGCCAGAGCCCGTCCCGCACCTTAGAGAGGAAGATGGTGGCTGCAAAGAAGACGAAAAGGTCTGGAGGAAACCTGAAATAGAGCCCGACGCCATGTTGGCCAGAACTGGTGTCCACCACTACCGGGGAGAACACTGGATTGGGCACGGCCTGTGGGAAGCACTGCAGAGCACGCACACTGGCTGCCATGGATCAGGTGATTCGATACCATTAGAAGGATGCCCGATGGGACCAGCAGTTGGCGTAATGACTACGTCGCTGGACTCCCATATAGCCAACCGTTGTTCGAGTCCCGGACCCAGTGGCTTAAACTCACTCCAGGCGCGTGTGCGTGCGTGCTCAAGGTCCCAAGAGGAGAATGGAGGAGACGGGATTGTGGCGTGGCTGGCCCCCCGGGGGGGGATTTCTCACTTTCTGTCTCTCTGTCTCTCTCTGTCTTTCTGGCGAGTGCACACGCCCTATAGCAAAAACCTCTCAAAGAAAAAAAAAAAAAAACACACACACACACAGAGAGAAAAGAAAGTCATAAATATTGAAATGTGTATTTATAATGGATAATTGACTTTATGATATCTTATGATATCTCACCTTAGGTAGTGTGTGTGCGCACACAAGTGTGCGTGTCCAGATTGGCTGGAAATATTGTACAGGCCGACACTGTCCGACAGACGAATGTGTGAGACACACGTGTAGTTTTTAGGCAGCTGCAGGCGGAGACCAAAGCTCAAAGCCCTGGCCTGCAAGTGTTTCCTAGAAGACCACGTGGGGCCAGCTCTCGGGACAGTATCTCCTGCCTGAGTCAAGGGTCAGGCATGCCTGGCCACATCCTCCACTTTCCCTGGTTTGGGAAGTGGTTGTATGCACTGTCACATTTAAAAAGTAAAAAGAGGGCCAGCCGGTGGCATTGTGTTCACGGCACTGCATCCCACATGGCTGACTGCATGACTTGAGTCCTAGATCAGGTGACTTGAAAAACACTCCAAGCCTGTGTGTGTGTGTGTGTGTGTGCCCAAAATCCTGAGTGGAGAATGGAGGAGAAGGGATCGCAGCATGGCCACCCTCGGGGAGAGGGAATTCTTACTCCCACTAACCTTTTTTCTCTGACAGTGCATATGCCCTGTGGTAAGAATCTTAAAAAAAAAAATTCTATTTATTTGTCTTTGCTACTAAGTCTTCAAAATGTCGTGTGCATTACACTCAACACGGCTCAGTTTGGACTTGCCCATCTCCAGGGCTCAGTAGCCACCTGGGGCTGGGGGCTGCCACCCCCGAGGGTGTAGGTATCAATGTACCCCCAAAGACCCCCACCCCACTCTTTGCAAGAAGAGACTGCGGTCCGAAGCCCATCCTCTATGGCGCTAGGCCGAGAGTTCCAATGGAAAACGTGATTAAATTCTCCCACT